TTTGAAATTTTCTGTTCAGCTCTTGGACCTCCTCAATTCTTCCATTTCTTTGCTTTAGCGTCTCTACACTGGAAAGGAAGTTTCAGTGTCTCTTCTGATATCCATTTTCCTTCTTTCTTATCTCCTCATACATAGACTTCTATAATAACAAGGAGCCCTGATAGTGTAGTGGTTATAAGTTGGGCTGCTAACCACAAGGTCAACAATTCATATCCACCAGTTACTCCACAGAAGAAAGATGAGGTTTTCTGTTCTATAAACATTTACAGCCTCAGAAACTCTAGAGGGTCTATATGAGTCAGAACTGACTCGACATAACACAGCCACCACCACCATAATAGCAGGAGCCCTAGTAGCATAGTGGTCTTTCCATTACATTTTTTGTGAACTTTTACAGCCCCTTCATATGTGGCGCTGTGGGTTAATGCGCCAGACTGCAAAGTCATTTGATCTACAAGGTCAGTGGTTCAAACTCACCAGTCACTCCTTGGAAACCCTATACAGGGTCGCTATGGGTTGAAACTTACTCAACGGCACTTAACAACAACAACATATTTCTTAAGACAACTTCTCATTGCCATTGAGTCAAAATATGCTATTCAGACCCACCTGTGTCTAGCCTCTCTGCAGGAGAAAGATGTGGCAGTCTGCATCCATAAAGATTGCTCTGCTGCTGTTGAGTGCCATGGAGTTGGTTCCAACTCATAGCAACCCTATATAGAGTTTCCAAGGAGTGGCTGTGAGGTTGAACAACCATACTTCAGGTTCAAAGTCATCTTGCAATCTAGTATTTATCCTGCAACACCACACCAGATTACAGCCTTGAAAACCCTATGGGATGGTTCTGCTCTTTTCTATGGGGTCATTATTAGTCAAAACCGACTTGATAAAAACAAATTTGGCTTGCTTGATTTTAAGTTCCCTACTATTGGTTTCTGTGTTCTTTCTATTGGTCTTTAATAAATATTTAATGTTGTTGTTAAGTGTTGTCAAACAGGCACTTAACAGCAGCATTCCGATCTTGTTGGAAGCAGACTGCCACATCTTTCTCCCACAGAGAGGCTACAGAGGCTGGAGAAGCTGGTGTGTTTGAATCACAGATTTTGACTAGGTGGCAATGAGAAGTGGTCTTAAGAAATATGAGGGGGCTGCAAAAATGATGGTAGTGGTTGTGTATGGGAGCAGAAAGCCTCATTTTATATAGGGTTGCTATGAATCGGAACCAACTGTACAGCACTTAACAACACTATATATGTAGTATTTAATAAGTCTTTAAATATAATTTAGCTAAATCATAGCATTAGCCTGAGAACAATGAAAATAAAGAAAAAGCAGCATTCTATGAATCGTGTGCTGTCCTAGCTGTCTTTCCATTGATAAGACTATTAGCTTTAGTGAAACTTATATCTAGTAAGTTCTTAATCATTAAAGGAAATTTTACTTATAGAATAAAATCAGCAGATATTTTCAAAGTCTCCTAAGAAAGGTAGGAAGTCTTAGGAGTTACCACTGCTGACTAAAATATAAACTAATGATCAGATTTTACTTCTGTATCACTTTAGACCAGAGCTGCAATCAGAATTTGCTTTCCTGATGGTATAGAAAGGAGACTGTGCTTCTCTTTCCTGCTCTAATCATTGTTCTCCCTTCAGGTTGTTGCTAGGACCCCATGGCAACAGCTCAATTACTTTTTAGATGATGCCTCCAAATATAATTTTGTTCAATATCCAATTATTAGCTGTTGAGCCTTTAGAAATTTAAAAACAACTGGTTTTTCAATTTTTCAAAAATTGAACTATCCCTGAGATCAAACAGATTACTTTTGATTTGATGGTGTTATTACCAAAAAGGACACACTCAAGAACTTTACCCTGAAGCCTTAGCCATTGCTATTTATGGATATTATACCAATGTGGTTTATCTTATTTGAAAGCTATTGACATCTCTGTTTAGTTTTTGTTTAAAAAATTATTTATAGAGCTTTTGCATAATTTTATTGTTTTTCTCATTAGAATTACTTTGACAAAAGCCACTGTCGAATATCAAAAAGATGTTATAAGGCTATTAAAAGAAAATCTTAGAAGAAGCCAACAGGTACAAGAAACCTCAAGTAAGTAGAAAATGCAAATACTTTTAGATCCTTTCCACTTTGTATCACAATGCATTTATATTATTTTGAAGACTGCTATTATATGAAGTAGCTTCGAAGAATTTATGGACAAATCCCATTACTTTTTTTTTTAAGGTTTTATTGTGGATTGAGTGATAGTTTACATGGGATAACATCGGTTTTACACTCGTCATTTCACTGCAATGATTACAAATCCCATTACCTTTTCATAACAGTTTTCCACAGACTTTTTGAAACCCCCCTATATATATGACAGTGAAGAGTATACCTGAGTTAACCACTAAATTGAAGATAAGTTTTTAAAATTAATTCACTGGAATCATGTCCATACAGGGATATCTCCATAGTTTGCTATAATCTCAAATTTTTATCCATTATAAAATTCTTAAAAAACATATGCATGAAAATATCTTCATACGATTATTAAGTGCCATTGAGTCACATCGGACTCATAGCAACCCTGCATAGGATTTGTAAGGTTATAACTATCAATACAGAACTGTCCTTCCCAATGGAAATAACAAATGTATTTTTTAATGTATTTAATTATATGCAAATAGAATCATGGTATGGCTGCATTTAGGGTTACCTATAGGTGGGTGGTTCAAATCCACCAGCCGCTCCTTGGAAACCCTATCTAGGGGCACTATGAGTGGGAACCAACTCGATGACACTTAACATCAACAACATATGCAACTACTAAATTATAATCTGTACACAGAAAAATAAATGTATGTCCTGATTGTTTTTAGTATTTAATATGAGTTGATGCTTGTTTGTATAACTCTTGGAAATTCATCTAAATTACAGTTTCTAGGTCTAATGGCCAAATTTCTGCTTATGCTTTCTTCAAACTGTACTTTTGTCCATGTTTCTGTATCTTATGTTTTATTTGAAAAGAAAATATTAGATAATGTGAGGAGAGCTTTGTGTAGTAGAGCAAGCACTGAACTAAAGATGGACCTGGGCTATAGACTGACTACCCTCAATTAATGGCTGTGGTGATTCAAGGTGACATCTGACCTAACTTTTGTCCTTGTTCTAAGAATCAGGCCAAAGTTGTGTATCAAAGCATGATAAAGAATTGACAATTAAAATGTAAGATGTTATTTGCCTATGTAATTGTCTAAGTAGTTCTTTTAAAAAAGAAAGAAAGAAAATATTGAGTGAAGGTTAAAGATGTTGTACATTACAAAACATGGCTTGAGCATCCCTAGTGTCTGTTACAGAATAATCACAGCTCTTAACTGGAAAACTTAAAGGGATAAAAATAGAACTGAGGATTCTTTGTTGTTACAGGACAGATAGGATAATGACTTTTGATTTGTAAGTGACCTTCAAGTATAATTCAGAAATCTCCCTACCCCGCTGCACCCTTCTTTTTTGAGTTACCTGGAAGTTCTTGACTAGTGGATTACTTCACTGTTTGAGCACCTTAAGATTTTATGCAAGTTTACCTACAGTTTATAAAACACCGTCCCTTGCATTACTTTTACACATACACAGTAAATGAAAAGCATTACTGCTTAGGGTTCCAGTTTATATATGCACAGCCTTATTGCATCTTTAAGCAGATGTGCTCTCTCAGTAATACACTTGTCGTAATCTCTTTAAGGTGCTTACCAAAAAAATAAATTAAAAATCAAAGCACAGTAGCTTCCAAGAGTATCTGCTGGACTACTTAAATTCAAGACAGAGAGGTCATCATGGCAGCTGTTTTTAGACGTGACAAAGGGTGATCTTGAACTGACTTGACAGCACTTAACAACAGTAGCAAGTGGTAATCTTAATAGATTTTCTCAAAAGATTATCATGTTGTTATGTGCTGTTTGTTATGTGCTATTACATTGGTTTCAATTCTTAGCGACCCTGTATTGGGTTTCCAAAGCTGTAAATCTTAGAGGGAGCAGAGAGTTTCATCTTTCTCCCACAGAACAGCTAGTGGGCTTGAAACACCAACACTGTGATTAGCAGTACAGTGCTTATCCTACAAAGCCACAAAGAAGTTTTAAGAAAATTGAAAACTTTATTGGTGAGAAAAAAGCTAGGAAAGTTGAACTGAGGAATTTTTTCCCATCTGGACAGTTCACCTGTCCTATGAGAATTTCCTCAGAAAACCTTATCCCATCCTCCCTACAACCCTGATCTTGCACCTTCAGGCTTCTTTATGTTCCCCAGACTCAAAGATCATTTCAGAGAAACATGATTTGAGCACCTTGAGGATGCTGAAACTGCTATTTTGTTATTTTGCTATTTTGACATGGTGTAAATCGAAGAGTGCATAATTCTTCAGGGAACGGTTAGAGAGATGGAAACACTCTCTTCAGATGTTGGCTATGTCAAGAAACAATAGCTTTACATGTTCATATTTTTGTTTAATAAAGATGTCTATGATTTTTTTAACAGTACTTTCTGACTTGCTCTAGTATAGTATAGATTACTTAATAATACTAATAACTTTTTTTTTTTAACATTGACAATTTCATTATTTACCTTCCTGAAATAGGTCAGTAACTGTTACCTACAGTATGGAGATATGCTAGTACATTTCTGTGTTACCATTATTTAGTAATTATGCTAAAGGTTTGTTTTTGTTATTCTTTTTGGTGAAAAATTACATAGCAAACATTTGTCAATTCAACATTATAAGTTAGTGGTATCAATTACATTAATCATGAAACTGTCACGACTCCATTTCCAAATTATCCCATCACCATTAACCACTAATAAACTGGTGTGTATACTTGTTTCATATTTGCATCATAGACTAGCTATCCTTTTTCACTCAGCATAATGGTTCAGGGCTTTTCTTTTTATGCCTGCTTAATATTTCATTGTATATAGGAAGGGGTGGGATTCAAAAAGTTGGTAGAAAAATTCCATCATCCTTTAATTCCATTTTTCCATGAACTTTTTTTGAAGCTCCCTTGTATGCCACGTGTTTTTTCATCCACTTATCTGTTGGAGGGCATTTCAGTTGTGTCCATCTTTTGACTGTTGTGAACAGTGCTGCAATAAACATTGTTTTACAGTTAATTTGTGCTTTAGTATCATTCTAAGGCATATTCAGTTACTTGTAATGCACTGAGTGACTCAGGCAAAGGGAAGTCCTGCCCCTCACTCCAGGTTGTAGAGGATACATCATTGGAGGATGACCTTACCTGCCAGGGTTTCTTTAACTGCTGTCTTGGTGAAGGATCTTAGTGATCTGGATTATGATAGTGCAGTTTGGGGTAGAGAGAAGCAGATGGATTCTAGAAACATTTTGAATTGATGATCAATTAAATATGGGCTGTGAGGACAGTGTAGCCAAGAATGACTTTCATGGAGATGGTATTTGAGATGTTTGGATTCTTTAGCAACTTATATTATTGCATTTAATAATGTTTCCTTTATTTCAACTTTGGAGACAAAACTATCCCTTGTTTGTGTATTTGTCTCCCACAGTGGTATCAGAAAATGTTGATTCTCAGCCTTTAAATAAAGTCATAACCTGTGGAGGTGGCAGCGGCATTGTGCAAAGCACAAAAGCTCTAATTTTGAAAAGTGAACATATGAAGCTAGAAAACGAAGTCTCTAAGTTAAAGCAGAAAAATGAACAACTAATAAAGCAACAGAATGAACTGTTAAGGTAAGATCTGCTTACGAGGTAAAGACATTGTGCTTAGGTCTATTTCATGTGGTGGAGGTGATATATGCGTGCATGTACATAAATGTATTGTTTGAAGTTGGCAACCGTTCACACATGGGAAATGTAATTTTTAGAGTTTATGTAATAGTGTCTTTTTTTAAGAGAAATAAGAATATGGCAGCATCATTCCAGATGTCTGCTATTCAGCAACCAATTTCTTTTTAACTCAGCTAAGAATCAGAAAGTAAAGACTTGGAAGGACCAGCTTAAATATTTCACAGTTCCTTATACCCAAATCGGTGAGGATTGTCACAAAAGAGATCCCCTGAATCCATTTTAATAGCCTATTTATTTACCTTATCAGTTCTAACAAACTTAATTATTTGATTTTTAGAGCCTACAGAATATTGGAGTCTGCAATCATTGTAATGACACAAAGTGTTATGATTTGTAGAATGCAGAACTGATGATCTGAAATGCTCACTCAATTCACAATAAAAAGTAAAAAATAAAAAAAATTAGACACTGTGCAAAACACACTACTTGTAATTAAATGTAAGACAGGTTGACATTAAACAATTATATAAACCACTACAGTAAGGGCTATTTAAAAACCAAAAGGACATTATGTAAGAGTATTACAAATAGAACCAATCATCTCGAGATTTGTTGGTTTAGGGAGGAGGGATGATCAAGAAACTAATATATCACAGTAAATTTGAAAAATTAGTAGGGATTAGGCTAGATGAAAGGAAAGAGGGGTAAGCATTTCTAGGCTGAGGCTTGGAATCAGGAAGAATAACCAATTGGTGAAACTGAAAGATACCTAATGTAGCCATGGTATGGAATTTGAGACAAAGTATGGTACAAGAAGAAATACCAGAAGTAAATGGGTCCAGATTATACAAGACCTTATCAATCATTGTTATTCATTATGTTGTTGGTAAGTGCCATTGAGCCAATTCTGACTCATAGCAACCTTGTATAGGGATTCCAAGGAGCACCTTGTAGATTTAAACCACCAACCTTGCAGATAAGTGCTTATCCTGCAGCACCTCACCAGGACTCCATTATTAGTTATGTTGTTGTTGTTAAGTGCCATCGAGTCGATTCCGACCCATAGCAACCCTGTATAGAGTTTCCGAGGAGTGATTAGTGAGCTTGAACCACCGACCTTGCAGTTCAAACGGCTTATTATCAGTTCTACAGTATCCTAAATATTATTGGAAAGGCAGTGGAGGATTTTAGGCAGGGGCCTGATGAGATCATACAGCATCTTGGCTGCTAACATGGGGGAGCCAATTAGGAAGATATTTATGATAGTTCTGGCAAAAGGTTTTGTCATGGACTAGAATGGTATGGATGCAGATAGAAATAAGGAAATGAATTTCAGAGAGAGTTATGAGGTTGTGAAAACAAACTTGGCCGGTTGATTAAATTAAGAAGAGAGAACTCTAGGATTGCATCCCAGATTTCTGTCAGGAAGAACTGAATGAATGGTGATGGTATTTCCTGTCAGAAGTAAGACTATCTAATTTAGAAAAACACAATGCAATATATACTTTTAAAGATCAGAAAAGATCGTCCATGTAGAAGATGCATTTATTAAATTGTCATAGCAAAGTACCATTAAGTAAACCACTCTGGATATCATTAATTCATTTAAAAACACAATATTATACACTGTGCTTACTTTTCAAGATTCTATCACCAGCAGCTTTGCTGTAGCTCTTTAGTTGATGTAGACCCATTCCATTCTCTGAAGTGGAAATAGTCCAACCAAGAAGCATTCGATGGAATTGAAATTTAATGTAAATACATTTCAGGAATTAAATCATCTTACAGTCTACTTCTTCTTCCCTCCCCCTCCCCCCCTCCCACATTTAAGCAACAATCGTCGTCTTTCTAAAGAGATCAAAACATGGAAGGAAAGAACCATTAAAAGAGAAGCTCATAAAGAATTGACCTGTGAGAATTCCCCAAAGTCTCCTAAACTGACTGGGACACCTTCTAAAAATAGACAACACTTGCCTTCACAATGTAAGGAACGAAATTTGCAAGATCCTGTGCCAAAGGAATCGCCGAAGTCTTGGTTTTTTGATAGCCGATCAAAGTCTTTACCAACATCTTACCCAGTTCGCTATTTTGATAACTCAAGTTTAGGCCTTTGCCCAGGTAGGTAAATGTATTAATTACGTGGATAAAGGTTTTAACTCTTATATAATATGTATTCCCCAAGACAAATATGAAGAAGAAATGAAGTACTTGAGCAAGTTATAGTACACAGATTGATTTGCTGTTCCTATAAACAGTTCAGAAGCTCTGGTGGCACTGTGGGTTAAATGTTGGGCTGCCAACTTACAAGGTTGGTAATTCAAACCTGTCAGCCACTCTGCCAGGAAAAAGATGAGGCTGTCTGTTCCCTTACAGATTGTAGTCTCAGGAACCCTAGGGAGCAGTTCTACTCTGTCCTTTAGGGTCACTATGAGTCCGAATTGATTCGATGGCAGGGGGATGAGATGTGAAAAGTCCATTTCTCCAAAGTGTAGCTTTGGGGAACGCACTCACTTTTTATTCCAAGTGAAGTCTATCCTGCCTCTTACACTTTCAACTTTCCCCTAAAATATACAAGCATCTCTCTTAAGAAAGATACCACCCTCCAAAGTATTTTACTAAAAAGGTTTTTTTCAGATCAGTTCAGTGGGCTAACATTACCTATAGCTTTGTATGTTCTGAGCTCCTACTATGCATTACCTGTGAGACACTGATGGTATTGGTATGCAAAACCAGGCATTCTCTCTGCCCTCACAGAATTGATTGTTGTTGTTTTGTTGTTATGTGCCATGGAGTCGGTTCCGACCCATAGCGACCCTGTACAGGGTTTCCGAGGCTGTAAATCTTTACGGGAGCAGAACACCTCATCTTTCTCCCACGGAGCAGCTGGTAGTTTCAAACTGCTGACCTTGCGGTTCACAGCCCGATTCATAACCACTATGCTACCAGAGCTCCATAGTCTAATGAAAGATGCAGACCTTGACCAGGTAGTTAAAACAAAGTAAAAGTGTAGTGGTGTAAAAGGGTATGAGGGCATATAGTAAGTATTTTATCAATAGTAAGTCTTCCTTGAGAAAGGAACTGAGTTGGCTAAACTAAACAACCCAGTGCCATTAACTAGATCCTGACTTTTAGCAATCCCATAGGACAGAACAGAAGTGTTCCACAAGGTTTCCAAGGATCTTTATGAAAGTAGACGGCCTCACCTTTCTCCCACAGAGTGACTGGTGGGTTCAAACCAGCAACCTTTTGGCTGGCTGCCCAGCGCTTAACCTACAGCACTACCCAGGGCTCCAGCTACACAAGAAGGAAGAGAAAGCATTATAGGCAGGTGGAACAACAACAGCCCTGGGGCAGGAGCAAGCATGATCGGGGAAGAGACAAGCTTGAGTGGATGGAGTTAGCAAGGCCAAAGAGATAGCCAGACATGCAGGACTTAGATTGTGAAAAGAATGTTTACTTTATCTTGAGAGCATTTAGTAGAAGTCTTTGAAAGATTTTAAAAGCAGGCCAGGGGGACATAATGGGTTGCAAATCAAACCTGAGTTGTGGGATAACCAACAAATATTAAGATCAAGTGTTAATTATGGGCAGTTGTCTAAGCAAGACTTGATGAAAGCTTGGATTCAGGCAGGTGTAGGAGAGAGAGAGAGATTTGGGAGTCAAGTCGGCAGCATTGGGTGCCTGATTGAATGTGGTGGAGAAGGAGTGGAAAGTTTCAGTACCCCCAGTTCTTCAGGGTGCTGTCCACAGAGGCAGAGAGGACTGTAAGAAAAGCTGTGTTCCATCTTGTGTCTTGTAGTCTTTCTCACTACAAAGCATTTATTGTGTGCTTAGGTATGCACGGTCCCAGGCTTGAGGCTATTTAAAAAGAATCATTCAGCCTGCACTCTTTGTGATAGTGTTTGTATCTATTAGAATCACCCTATTAATACAACTCCAGAATTCTAAAGCAACAAAATTGCACACTAAGCTTCGAAATCATTTCAAGCTTTGCACAAAGGTTGTCAAGGTTTATGAGCACTGTACCTTGTGACTAAAATGAAATCAATCCATTCTCATTAACTGCACGTAGGAATCAGGTCACTTTGGTAACCTGAAAGTGCTCTTTGGGACCTAATAAGGCACAAAACCACTAGGAAGAAATCTGTTTGAACTACTGTTTCCTTGATACATTTAAGTACATTCCATTGTCCAGGTCCTTAAGCAGAAATTTTGTTACATACACACACATACATCTTATTGTAGAAGTGTCTTATAAAAAACTATAAGAAGCTCTGATTCACCTCTGATCCTATCAAAGGCATGTGCATAATGTGAATTAATGCAAACTGCAAATAAAAATGCCTACATCTTTTCACCAATGTATGAATCTGCCTGGCACTGTTTTGGGATGGAATAAATAAGAGTAGCCTACAGGAATGGAATGTGTAAATCAAAAATGGGTCAAATCAGAATTAAAGAAGATATTCCCAGCTTTAATTAGTAAAAATATTACTGTAGGAAAAATTTCATGTCAGTGTTTACTTGCAATTATAAAAAGTAATCTAAATTACCTCAACAAATTAAGATAGTTGCCAAGGCCAGTGATACTAGATTTACTTTATGAGTATTGTTTATAGATATTACTGAAATATATTTTAAGGCAGAAAAGTTTTTCAAAGATGACTAAATATTCTCTAATCTACGTACTATTTGTTTATGACACCACCACCCTCCCCTTAAACAGGGTAAAAGAAAATCCAACTATATTAGTATATGTTTGATTCACTTTGAATCTCAAATAGATGAATTTCAAATAGATTTTACTTCTTGTTTAAAATGGTTTTCTAACACAATAGTTGTTTATTTTTACAACCATCTGCTTTGGATTTTTTTTTTCCTTGATTGCTTATTCAGGTTTTGAGAGACATAAACTTCTCAAACTCTGAAAAAGTGAAATACACATTTTTAGTGATCAAACACAATGAAACTAATGACCACACTGCTATTTTTCACTTCTCATGTCTTTCCTATCTTGACATCTTTTCCCCTCCCAGCCATGCTTGGTTTTCTGTATGTGTAATTTTTTAATAGAATTAATTTAAGGTTTTATTTTCTGTCTCAGAGGAACACACGGTGGGAGCAGAAAATGTGGACCCTGAGCCAGAGCTGCCATGGCATACCTCTTCCGGAAAAGATGTGCCTGATTGTAAAACCCAGTAGCTCCTCTCTCACTCCTCTGGAGGGCCAGCCCTCCTTGTTCAGAAACAGCCACGGTAGCCGCCCTGCCATCTCTCTCTGGCAGTGATCACACGTCCAACTTAATTCACGGTCTGTTTTCACTTGACCACTAGAATAGGAAGTTCAAAGAATCAGAAACCATTTATTCCTGGTATTTCAACAAGTGATGAAAGTGCATTGTTCTTAGTGGTCATATTTTAGAGTTGAAGGATTTTACTTATTTGTATGTTTTGTAAAGAATAGAGTTATTAAAGGAATTTCTAGTCTTTCTATGTTTGTAGTCATGTATACATTTTTATTAATGTTAAGTTATCCATATATTACTTAGGCAATTTAAAAGCATAATATGTAAAGTAATATAAAACATCATTTAATTAAGAAAATTACAAACTCCTTTTTTATTACCTGGTACATTCAATAAATGTTTACTCACCTGTCTGAATTACAGTTCTGTAATATAAATTTTTTTGTGTGTTCTGGGGTGGTCAGGGTATATTTTGCTTTCCTCTTGTTGAGTTTCAGGATTTTGCTGTGAAAATCTGTGCACAATTTCTGGCTTTAAATTATTAAAGGCTAATAGGGACTCTGTCCTTAACACTCTAGTCCTACTCTTCTTCTTGGTGTCATACTACAAGAGTTTTTTCTCACTTTTCTAATACCCCATCTACCATAACCCTTATACAAGCAATCTCGATTGGTTAGTTGGCAGACATTGTTCTCTCCACTGAAAAATCTTCAGTGATCTTTGGTTCTACCCCTTTCATTTTAGGCATGAGGAAAAAAGCACCAGCATTTCTATCAACGTTTCATAAACCTGCAGTTCCCACAGATACTCAGAATATTCATGGGTGGGCTTTATGAGGTCTGTAAAATTTCTGAAATTTTATGTAAACTTTCATGTGTATATATATTTTTTTCAGAATTGCTAGATTCCATGCTTGCTTTTATCATTCTCGGGCCATCTGTGACCCTGTCAAAGGCTAAAAGCAGTGGGTTTGAGAGTATCCCTATCTTACTTTTTTGTCATGTAACTGAAGCACCACAAAAAAAATAGCAGGTGGCGTAAGGACAGAGCTAAAGTGATTTCAAGGCACTTTGGCTCTTCGGAAGGAAGATTCATCCAAAGGAAGAGATAATGGTGGTGCTATAGGATAAGCATCATAATGTAGGTAGTCCAAACCCACCAGGTGGTCCTGGGAAAACCTATACAGAATCACTGAGTTGGATACAGTTTAAGGACACTTAGCAACGATCCCCATCATTCCAAAATCTCTGGATTTGATATTTTCCCTTATGTTAACATACTAACAGGGATCCCCGGTGGCACAATGGATTAAGCATTGGGTGGCTAATCATAAAGGTCAGCAGTTTGAACCCATCAGTCTCTATCAGAAACATGAAACTGTCAGCTTTTGTAGAGATTTATAGCCTCAGAAACTCTGGAACAGTTCTTCTCAGTCCTATAGGGTCTCCAACAGTGGATTTGGTTTCATGTTAATAGTAACATCCTGGTAGTAACACTGTAGGATCAGCACTGGACTGTGAACCACAAGGCCAGCAGTTCAAACCCACCAGCTGCTTCTCAGAAATGCTGTATAGGTTTGTTATGAGTCAGAACTAGCTTGCCAGCACTTAGCAGCAACAAGACCTGTCCCTTCATCTCTCCTTTCTAACCTTGCCCAAACATCACACTGTACTAGAGCTGCAGATCTAACTGGTTACTGAGACTATCAGCACTGAACTGCAAACCACAACGTCGAAAGATGAGAGCCTACCAGCCTCTCCGCAGGAGAAAGATGAGGCTTTCTGTTCCTGTCAATATTTAAAGCCTGGGAAGTGCTCTACAGGGTCACTGAATTGAAACTGACTCCACAGCACTTAGCAACAATTAATAGAAGACTTGAAAACATGGTTGGTCTAGAAAGGACTTTATTTAATTTTCATACAGAAGTTCATAGAAGGTAGTGCAGCTTGAAAATGAGGTAAATGAGCTTGAAAAGAAAGGTTGGTACAGTAAGATTGCTTTCTAGGAACCAGTTTACTTCTGTTGCCCTGCTCTGTCTTTAATGTGTGCATTCTGACCTCATACCAAGGCGTACAATGGCTCCTTCATCTCCTGGCATCATACCCACATTCTAGGCTAAAAGAAGGGGAGAAGAAAAAGCCATAAAACTACTAAAGAAGCCTTGCCTTTCTACTCAAGAAGCAAGTCCTCAGAAATGCCAGCCTTTTTTTTTTTTGTAACCATACCGGAGTATCTGAATTACTTAGCCACTCCTTGCAGTAAAGTTTGTTGTTAAGTGTCATGGAATCGGTTCCAACTCATAGCGACCCTGTGTAAGGTTTCTGAGCCTCATCTTTCTTTCACAGAGCAACTGATGGGTTCCAACTGCCGACTTTGTTTACCAGTCCAGTGCTTATTCTACAGCTACCAGTCTCCCCTTATTGGTAGTAGTTGCAGCTAAGGAGGCTAGAAATTTGAGATTTTTTTGCTTTCCAACCTTAATAAAATGAAAGGGTAAAATGAGTTGGATGGCTGTTGCATAAACCCACTTAGACTATGTGCAAGAAAACTTAACACAAGCAGTGCTCAACCACCCATCTAATGAAATCTAGCCTAAAGAGCTCATAAAATCTAGATCTTTATTTTTTAGTCCTGTCTCTGTTGTCAGCAAAACATGAGGTGGTTTTTTGTTTGTTTCTTTCTTTTCTTTTCTTTTCTTTTCAAGCTCATTTATGTTCTCTTCATCCAAATTTGACTTGTTACCCAAGGTGCTCTTCCCTTTCCAGCCTCCACACTTGGTGCAAGTTTCACACCCGACTCTCACCCCACCTCACTCCCAGTGTGGTGATGGTGGGAAGTGCCATCAAGACAGTTCTGACTCTTAGCGACCCTGAATAGAGTTTCCAAGGAGCGGCTGGTGAACTTGAACTGCCGACCTTGCAGTCAAGTGCTTATCCTACTGCACCACACCAGAAGTCCAACTCCTCAGTGTAGACAGGATATATTGGAGTTAGATCAGGCTGAACATGACAAAGTAATGATAATTGTACCTTAAACACAATAAATTCTTCCTCACACACAGAAAATTCAGGTGAAGGATCAGGAAGACAGGATCTTCAATGAACTGGGTTCCTTCCATGTTACGCCCTGCAATCTTGGGGTTCCTGTATGGCACTGGAGGATAAGCACTCAGCTACAAGTTCAGTTTGAACTGCAAGGTCAGTAGTTCAAACTCACCAGCAGCTCCTAGGAAACCCTATACAGGGTTGCTGTGAGTCGGAACTGACTCAGTGGTACTAAACAACAATCTTTGGTTCAAACCTACCAGAAGCTTCTCGAAAACCCTGTACAGGGTTTGACTCAGAACCCACTCACCGGCACTTAACACACCCACATATCTTCCACATGAAGCATCTAAGTTAAATTTGATTACCCCTGAGTTCTGCTGACACAATGCTTAGGATGGTGTTTGGAAATTACCAAGAACTCCACAGGAGAAAGACCTGATGATCTGCTTACACAAAGATGAACTCACTGCCATCAAGTTGATTGTGACTCATTGGGACCTATAGGACAAGAGTTGAACTGCCCGTAAGGTTTCCAAGGCTGTACATGTCTATGAATCCAGCCTGCTACATCTTTCAACAAAGTTTGAACCACTGGCTTTTTCTTTAGCACCAAGATCTTAACCACAGCACCACTAGTATTCCTTTCATAAATTACAACTAGGAAACCCTATAGAGCAATTCTACTCTGTCACAGGGGCATCTATGAGTCAAAATCCCTGCACCTATCAACTCCATAACAGCATATTATAGTCACAAATTACTGAGTCTTAGTGTAATGCCTTTGAGTTGTGGTGTTGGAGGAGAATACTGAAAGTGCCATGGACTGCCAAAA